GTAAGTTTTGTAGATGTTTTAAGAACTGAAAAAATATATACTTTAGAAGTAGGTTTGGTCAAGTGTATCCCTGCATGTGGTACACTCAAACCTGATTACCTGGCACTCATCAACCATCTTGTCATGGAATGTCTAATGGAAGATTTTTTTCAAATGAAAAATCCAGACAATTTGAGAGGTATACAGAAAACTTGTCTTAAATATTTGAAGCTACATGTGCAATCTTACAGAACACAAGCTACAGTTACAGACATAACATTAAATCTTACTAACCAATAGTGCAGAAGAACTTAAAAAGTCAGTGAACTCACAGTACAGACAGTGACTTCCAAAAAAGTCATGTCTCAGATGCACTGTGTGAAAGGAAATAAAATTTAAAGGGAAAATTATTCTTAGGCAAGTTAACACAAAGTTTTAATCTACATTTGAAAAGCTGTTTTATTTTATATATATATATATACTATGTATAAAATAAATTAAAAAGGGCAAGGAGGAAATAGCCTTGTATATGCTTCAAATTGACACAGACCAGTAGTTCCATAAATGAACACTTTACCATCTTTGTGGTAAGAAGTTGACATAAAAGTTCAAAACCATACAATACTTATAAATAGAAAGAGTTCAAAAGATATTTTTTTAAAAAATGGAATTTAAACATCATTTTCCCTTCCCCCACAATACACTTTAGTTTTGTATGTCATAACATCAATACATTTAGAGAGTATGTGAGTATCACATCCCCTCAAGAAGTGATAATGAAGCAGGTAAAAGTGCTAGCGGTGTTAAAATTGAAGACTTCTCCCAAAGAACTCCACCTGCTCCTCAGCCTTCTCCTGAAATGAAGGCTATCAACATTCATCACCCAGTCTGAGGTATGGGCTGAATTAAAACCTGCAACTGGCACTCCTCACCCCTTTGCTATGTTTTGCCTCTGCTAAAACATAGCAAAGATCTGTTGATCTGGTAATTGACAACCGTGGTGCACAATCTCTTACCTCCGTTCAGCTTGGATATAATTTCATCACAATATAAAAAAAAGTTATTTTGAAACACAGTATTAATGCTTAATTTCTTACAGAAAAAAAACAACAAACCACCAAAACCAAAACCAACCAAACTACTTTAAATCCTCTTTGAAACCATGTTTAAATGTTCTTGTTCCAGATTTAAAGCTTCACATAAACACCGGACAGAAGGATGACAGTTTTAAACCAAGAGAGCACCTAAAAAACATACCATAGATAAAAATGAAATGAATCATCTCTCCACTTCATGAAAAATGTAGGAACCCTGTCAGCAACAGTAGTACACTCAGAACGAACAAGGTGAAAAGGAGCATCTAGAATACTCAAGAGGCTTGCTACGCTACTTCTCTTTATTGCCCATTCTCTCATTTGTATGGATGGCCACTGCATGACAAGATGTCTGTGATAGTTCTTCCTTTCACCACTGCTGCCAGCTGAAGTCGTCATTGCTGCCAAAGACCAAGAAAAATCCTAGGATGGTGGCAAAGATGACTGTATTCCCCGTAAGAACAAGTGCACATGCACCCCAGTAGATCTGTGAACAAGGGGAATTTTGTTAGACATGTTTTGAACTGAACGCTGACAAGAAAAAAAGTAATGTTTTAATGTCATGCTCTAGACAAAGTTCATCAACAGGTCCATGATGCAAGAAGGTGGTATCTCATTATTTGGGGCTACAAAAAGAAGGCTGAGTTCATCCAGAATGACTCAATCAATTCACAACTAGCCAAGCAGCACTGGTTCTTTTAGCCATGCTCAAAGTGCTGGCTAACAGGCACAGCTGTTTCACTGCAGCATCCAAAAACTGTAAGGTAAGGCTATGTAGCAGCATCAAACATATCTGCAGCCCAGGTAGACTTGCTGACCATGCTGTAAGACTTTTATTAAACCTGCAAGTATCATAGAATCACAGAATCAGAGAAATGTCTGGGTTGGAAGGGACCTTCAAAAGTTCATCCAGTTCCAACCCCCTGCCACAGGCCGGGACACCTTCCACTAGACCAGGTCTCTCACAGCCCCATCCAGCCTGGCCTTGAACACTTCTATAATATCCCAGTAACAAAACAGGAGGTGACTGTTTTCCAAAGACAGTAAGTGATTACTCGAAGGCATTCAAACTGACCCTCTGAGCTGTTCTTGCCTGAAGAGATTTTGTAAGAGAGCACTCCATGATGTTTGGACTTAGTAGTGCTCTCTGAAATTCACACAAACAAGGTCATCTTTTAAAGGATTTCAGTGAAAAGCCATATATTGGGAAAGATGTAATGACAACTCAGAAGTTTAAAAAAAAACAACACCCCAACATCAATATAACGTACATTGAGTGCAAAAAAGGCATTGTATATTCATGCTTCTTTAGCCCAACTGTTCCACAAACTGCCTTCAAAGTATTCTACACACTTTGATGTTTCTTTACTTGCCTGTTAAGTTTCCACTCTATTTTCTAGCCCCTTTTCTCTGCATTGCATATAGGCTGTTATGGCTTATTCAATGGCCAGGTGAAGCCATTGGCAATCATGACATTCTGTCATGCTACCATGTTAAGTATTAGTTTTTTTTTGCAGGCAAGAAATCCTGTTCTGTTTCCACAGCAGGCATCTTAAGTATGTATTTATAAGAATTGCTTAGCGCATGAGAGCTTTACCTTGAGTAATAAACAAACAGAACAAGATTTCTAGTAAAAACAAAGAATAGATTGAAATATTACTAACCAGTTCTGCTCTGGCAAACACTATTGGTAGCCCAAACGCTGAGACGACAATGCCTGTTGTAAGAAATATTGCTAGCTCCTTGCAGGCATTACTTGTAGCATCTGTGTCATCTACTAATCTTCTTGCTATGCAGTATGGGATAGGAGACAGGATGTAAAAAAACAGAACAAACAGTGGCCAGTACTGACTGAAAAAGAAAGGAGAAGAAAAGTTAAGATTAACTTGATTTACTTCACATTCTCCCTAAAAATCAGTGCAAGACATTTTCCCTATCCAGCACCCACATTCAGGACAGGAGGCACATGCCCAGAGAAAGCAAATCCTCTTTGGAAGCAGCTGACATTAACCAGTTTGTGAGCAGCTTCAGCTGACCTCAGCAGCAGAGAGCTCACTAACAGGATATTCACGAAGCGTGACTTCACTAAGCAAGCCTACATCTAACGCCACATAACAACACAAGCTGAGCTCTGAAGTTTAACCTGCACATCCACAGAACAAAGCACTGTTCTCAGCCCCAACACTCCGCTGCCATGGGGTACCAAGGCTTTTCTTTAATCTGAATGTAACCAACAATAACCTACAAAAATTGTACCATCAAATTTGGCAACGTTTTCTTTCATTGCTTACAGCTCACCATACTAGATTTCTCAGACACAGTAATGCAGTTGCTCACTGTTTCAATAAAACCTTATGGCATTGTTTGGAGTGTGGCTGCATAGCTGCATAATGATCTCCTTACCTGGGGGCTGTGTCACTAACCCTGGTTTTGGAGCATAAACAAGCTGGTGTAAGAAAGTGAGTCATGTGTAAAGAACTGCGATGCATAGCCACTAAAAGGGCCACTAACAGAATATTTAACATTAAGTAAGTCAATTTAAAAGATTTTCTGTTAAAGTCAGCATTCACTTGCAAAGGGTCAGAGCCACAGGCCTAATTTTCTCAACTTCTGGTCTACTATTTTGTATATCCTGGCAAGGGGGAGACAGAAATGAGCAGACCAAACGCAAACACAGTTATTGCAGATGCTGCAATACAAAGCATGGTGCAGTGCCCACCCGATAGTCACTGACAGTCCAGCTACCACCAAGTAGGCAAAGAAAAGGCAAACACTTCCCCAGTAATACACACTATCTACGTTGGGAGAAGCCATCTGCATGTCAATACCAGACGAACAACACTGGGGACATGTTAGGGCAGTGCATTCTTTAGCAGTTTGCAACCAGGCCTGGTAAAACTTAACTTCTGTTGCATTCATTTTTACAATTAATTAATCCTGGCTGGCCTGTTTTGTTTGGGTTTTTTTTTAAGCCAAAAATACCCTAGATCTCTCCCACCCACAAATAATTTTTCAGTCCATCGTTACAACAGCAAGACTATTCCACAGTTACAGCCATGAAAAAATACCCCGAGGAACAGGAAGAGAGTGCGCGTTACTTGTACTGAGGAAGGGCACATCCGAGCATCAGGAACATCAGTCCGACCGCTCCCCCGAAGGACAGGCTAATCAAGGCTATAGCGGGAACACAAACCGACACAGATGAAGGGTCCCACAAGCCGCAGAAACCACCGACCACCACCGCCAGGTAACCGCGACCGCGGCCCTGACGCACAGAGCCCCGCTGTACCCCGGGCAGCCCTGGAAGAACCCCGCTCCTCTCCCAGGGATGAGCCCCCCTACGGCTACCGGGCCCCCACGGGGGTGCGACCCCAGCGACGGTGGCCCCAGGCCCGCCCACCCACCCACCCCTCCCCACAGGGCCTCGGGCGCCGCACGGGACACCGTGGGGAACGGGGGAGAGGGGGCGGGGAGGGGTGGAGCGCGCCCGTTCCATCGCGCCACGCGCACCTTTGATGCCGGCCATGGCGCCGCCCGTCCCGCGAGCCGCACCGGCGGAAGGCCCCGCGCCGGAAACAGGAACTGGCGCGGCCGGGAGAGGAGAGCGTATGCGCGGAGCCTAGCTCCGCCCCGTCTCCTCCCACGTTCCGGCCACGTGACGCGCGTTACGTGATGCGCGCGTGAACGGTCACGGCATCAGCTCCGCCCCGTCTGCGAAGCGCGGGAAGCCGGTGCCGCGCTGTCACGCGAAGCCCTCCCGCGAGGCTCCGCCCCCTCGCCGCACATTGGCCCCGATGGCTACCAGGATGGGGCTTCGGGGTGGTGCCCGGTGCGCATGCTCAAATTCTTGCCTGGCCCCTTCCTGTAGCATTAGCCAATGAGAGGTGCCGTCCGCGGAGGAGAGGGTTGACTCACCTTAGAGCTGTTATGGCGGCTGTGGGGCGGCTTGTGCCTGAGGCTCGGTCTCTCTCTGTGCTCTTCTTGCTCCTCCTCCGCGTTGCCGCGGGCCCCGCGTGGAGCTGGGGCCAGCACGGTGAGAGCCGTGGGGCTGGCTGTGTCTCTGTGAGGCCCTTAGTTGCTTCTTGCGTGTCTCCCGTCGCTATGGCGCTGGGGCCAGCACGGTGAGAGCCGTGGGGCTGGCTGCGTCTCTGTGAGGCCCTTAGTTGCTTCTTGCGTGTCTCCCGTCGCTATGGCGCTGGGGCGGGTGCTGCCGGTTAGCGGCGGCCTGGCACGGGGAGGGGGAAGCTCTGGGCCTGTACCAGGAGGGCTTCTTGATTTTGTCTCGCTTTAAATTGTCTTGTGGCGCATAATAATCCCCCTTTGCGATCCGCGGTGGTTGTACATTCTGGGAGGAATATCCCAGATTTCTTCCCAAGGGATGGAGAACTTTGCTGTGTTCCCCTCTGCGCCTTTGGTGCTTCTGAAGGCTTCGTCTCTTAAAGAAGCACGCTGTTGTGTCCTTTATATCGTCAGCCTTGTTCTGAAAGGAGGTCCTTGTGCCCTCTGGACAAATGTTGACCTTTGTGCCACCTGTTTCAGGGAGAGTTCTGCTGCGGGAAGTGCAGGCGCTCACTCTCCACAGAGGGCAGTACACGACAGCCCGGCGGACAGCTGCAGTCCCTCAGTTGCAATGCACAGGAGGCACTGCTGGATGCTCCCAGATCCCGGAGGTTGTTCAGTGTTACAACAAGGGTTGGGATGGTTATGATGTACAGGTAACTGTCTAAAACTGGTTAAACGTTTCATGAAATCCTTTTCCCCCAGACTTGGCAACTTTTGAAGTAACGGTGCAACAGAATCAGTTCAATTTGCCTCTTGCTAGAGGACCTTTAACAACTAAAACTTAATCTAAATACTTTTTGGATTTGGGTTTTTCGTGCTGTGGGTATAGCTTTGAAATATTCCCAAAGTCTCTAATGTAAAAGTGCTGTGTAGCAAACCTTCATTAGTTTTAATTAAAATGTTTGAGGTTAGAAAATCGAAGTCTTGTGAACCCCAGAGGATGCTCTTGCTTTGATTTTGCTGCATGGTTTTCCAATTTTTATTAGAGTAGAAGGGGCTATAAATATTTGCATCACTTCAGCTGTACATTTTAAAAGCTAAATTTCAGACTTACATGCATGACTTCCTCTTGCATGTTAGTTTGTCAGTACTAGTCAGTAAATAGTCAGGTATTTCTGTTAGCTACAGGCTAGGCTTCTGCCAATAGATTAACCAGGAATCAAGGCTGAAGATAATTAAAACTGACACAGTATTGCAAAAGTATGGTCAGACTTGAATTAGCAGTTGGTACTGGTGTCCTGATTTATTAATTTAGAAACTACTTTCTTTTTTTTTGGGGGGGGGGGTGTCTCCCAAAAAAATGTGTTACTTGCAGTTGGAGGTGATAGTTAAGTTCAGCTATGTCAAGGAAATATGAGACAGAGGAACTGGCATATATTCAACTGCATAATTGTAGTCTGATTGTTAAAGTGTTGCATGTGAATGCCTAATGATGCCTCTCCCACTTCTTTTGATTTCTGTGTGGACACAAATGTCATCAGGTCCACTGGATTTCATGCTTCCATACTGTGTTTTTGCAGCTGCCATCCAGTTCACATGGGACAGGCATTTATCAAGTAACTGTTGCACGGGCTACAAGTTATTTTTAGAAGTATTCCTGTGCCTGAAGAAGGGATACTTGAAAAACCTGTTCAGTGGATCTTCCAGAGTTGTAACTGTTCTGTATTTTGAAAGATTGGATATTTTTTTAACTTCCAGGATTTTAAAAGACAGTCTTGGTTAACTTCAAATTCCCTGTCCTTTTCAAAATAAGAATGCTCAGAAATTTTTTACCCTGTGGCCTTTTAGATGGTTTGTTAGCAAATGCAGCTTTATTTTGGAGCATATCTGGGGGAGCAGACAGGTTTTTTTGTCCCTGGAGCAGGAGGTTTTACTTTGTGTTTATTGTTTTCAGTGGCAGTGCAAAGCAGACCTGAAAAATACCCACCGGTTTGGACGGATCGAAGTGAGCTGTGAAGGCTATGATTACCCGGATGATCCTTACATCTTAAAGGGCTCCTGTAGTTTGCTGTTCAGGCTAGAGCTGACTGAGGAAGGTGAAAGGAAAGTGAAGAACCCTGGAAGCTTTAGCTATTATGAGTCAAGGAAGGATTCTTCTGATTCAGGTGGTGGAGCAATTCTTGTAGTTGTTCTCCTGGCTCTTGCTTTTGGAGTATACAAGTTCTTCCTTAGCAATGAGCAGCCTGAGCAAAGTTCTGGTGATGGTGATGGATTCACTACGCCTTCCTGGCAGAGTCATCCGGCACCTCCTCCTCCTGGTTTTAAATCCAGCTTCACAGGTAGGGCTATAAGACGTTTACAGCTCTCAAAATAGTAACTAGGAGGGTCCTGTTTTATTTGCAGTAAGTGCAGGTGAGATGGACTTAAACATGGGCAGTGCATTGGCATGGGACATGGCAGTGGGATGGACAGTGCATCGGCAGTTGCCTCTGTGCATTGGCTGCCCAGCCTGCAGCCAGCAGTGCATTCTCTTCTTCATTCAAAAGTGAAAATAAGAACTTGGTTTACCACAGGCTTTCAGGGCAAGCTGTCCTTTGAAAATCCATCTCCCAGTGCTCTGCAAGTGTTCTTTTCTGCTCTGAGAAACAGAAGGATTGTGACAATAATTTTCATAAAACATCTGAAAGAGAGAATGGTCTCACACAGGCAGAAACAAACTCATGCCAAAGAAGCACTTGGAAGCTTTTCAGAAGGGTCTTTCAGCCATTGGGCTGCTAACCCCACAAAGCAACTGATGGAATTAAGTGTCATATACTGGTCCTGTATAACAGGTGCTTCAGTGTAGTCCTAGTGATTGAAAGATTTGGCTCCCAGAGCATAAAACACTGTCTGAAGCTCATGTGGTACCTTTTGTCTGAAGCTGGAAATTCCATGTGCAGTGACAAGACTACTGTAAGGAAAAGATACACGTTTTCTTTTCCCAGAAAATGGATTACTTTTGTCACTTAATAAATTGTCTGCCTTAGAAGGTCATAGTGTCCAAGGGAAATAAACATGATTCATCTGGTGTATGACCAACTTGTCTAACCCTGTGAACATGTGAGATGCTCACACCATTGGAACTCAGATTATGTTCTGACAAGTTGTTTGGTTTGGTTTATTTTGTGAGATGGAGAAGGGATTCTATCAGTTAAATAAGTAGCAAGGACTAAGTTTACTAAAGCATAAGCTTTTGGTGTAGTTATGCTTGTCAATGCTTTCCTCTAGGTTGGCTCAAGCCATTTGGCCAACAGAGGGTGCCAGTATAACTCTTTTGAATACTCCTGTGCAGCACTTTCAGATGTACCTGTAGCAGAAAATTAAAGGGATTCTGCCTCTGTATTACTAGTGACTTTGCTAATTGGTTGTTTCTGAAAGCTCTGGTCATAAGATAGGATGCTGTCATACTGGGCACAGGCAGAACAGAACAAGGAGTTACTTTTCTTTTTTCCTGTCCTGTTTCTTGTCAGTTAATTGCACCAGTGCATTTTTCATTGCAGGAGTCTGAAATCTAGCAAGTGTAGGACCTTGAAAGTACATTTTCTTGATGATTATTGAAAATTGAGACACTTAAAGTGCAGATTGGGAGCCATATGAGGCTTAATTTGCAGCATTTTTAATAACTACTGTCAATGATTTTTCCTTGGATTTCAAACAGAATGAGGAGGAAAACCTATTGAACGTGGGGCCAGCTTAAAAACATTATGTGTTGTGCTACTTCATTAATCCAGTGTCTGTCTTAGATTTTTGGCAGTGGAGCAGAAGCACATCTCTTGAGTGCGTATGTCCATGTGTTCCAGGAGTGTAATAGTCTTTGAAAATCCAGATGGTAATGAAAAGCCATGTGGTTCACTTATTGCTGTTGATGTTTAATTTGCTTAATTTAAAATCCCCTTAACATTCAGGATGAGTTCTGTGAAACTTGTTTAGCTAGCCTATCTTAAGTTCCACTTTTTCTCTGTTAGTGGTTTGACATGATCCTTGATGTTTACTGTAGATATTTCAACAAGAAATGACTGTTTTCTGAGTCAACATTCAGCCACGGTGCTTTTGAACAAATGAGTTAGTTCATCTTCCTGCTTAATAATGTTTTACAGTAAATTAAGTTCTTTTTTTGCTGTTGTTATTCCAAATCATCTTAGTTTAATGGTTACATCATCCCATTGAGTTTCTTTCTCCCAATGCATTCAAATTGAAAGTCAGCATCATATCCAGTGTATACTTAAAATGATTTTTTATTTTTTTTTATCTTTCATAATTTCAAACAATCCACACCATTTTAAAGATAAACAAGGCCTCATATAACTTCAACATACAAAATCTGTTTCACTTACTTAGGTGGGCATTCTTCAGGAAGATCCTGATGTCACCTTCAGTCCTTGCCTTTTACACTTCCTTATGTGTTAAAATTGTGGTTGAGCTTATTCTTGCGCCTGTGTTTTTCTCTAGACCAGAAAATTATTCTACTTTGGGTTTGTGCTTTTTCTTTTAATTTCTGACTGGAAGAAGGCATTCCGTTCTGAGTCAGAACCTCATGTTATGCAGGTCATATGTAAAATATCTGTGACTCTCCTTCCCCCATAACCCACTTGATAGCTTGCAGTTTCATTTCGGTGTTTGTCAAGATTGGTGACTCATGCATAATGAGAACTTTGCAGTGTGACTGCAGTTAGGGTGTCTTTTGATAACAAATACCAGACTAGGAGTACCAGAAACAATACAAAGTAATGTTAGCCATTAAACTGAGCCACTCAAAATGTGCAGCTGTTCTGAGTGAGATTAGAAGCTGTGTGTCTTAGTGCTTAGTTCACTGTTTGGTCTTAACTACTTGATTTCTGTTCCTGTCTCTGCTGCTGACCTGCTCTGTGACCTTGAGTAGATTATTCTTTCTTCATTTTCTTTCTGTTTTTAATCTAACTTGTCTGTTTATAAATCTGCAGGCAGGGACTCTTTGCCATGTTTTGCAAACATCAGGGCTGTGAGATTGAGTGGAAGCTATTTTTTAACATAAAGTTCCTTACATTAGTATTTGTTTCTTTGGGGTTTTTCCTGCTTTCCAAACTGTGGGGCTTTTGAATTTAAGCATCATCAAGAATCTACTGAAATTAGAGCAAGTTTATTGTCTCATTTTCCATTATTTTCAACAGGGGAGAATGTTGTTGCAACAGCTGGCCTGAGGATTAGGTGCCACTAGCTGATCTGTTTCTCATTTTCATTTTATTTAAGATGATAACAGCTTTGGGGCCCATTCCTATCATGGAACCAATTCAGGACCAGGATTTTGGACTGGATTAGGAGCGGGAGGCTTGCTAGGCTACTTGGCTGGCAGTCACAGGTAAAATATGCATGCTACCAGATTTTATGTGTTTAAGCTTTTACTGGCTATGCTATATACTGGATTTGCATTGTTGCTAAGCTTTCAGGCCTGTATTGTTCAAGCCATAAAATCCTACTGGCAGAACAATTTTGAGAGGCAATCTATAGCTCCAGCAGCAAAGACATTTTAAGCATGTTTCTTGATAAGAGGAATAGGGAAGACTGAGGTATTTTGTTCCGCTTTAGCTGGTTATTCTGACCTGGCACAATGGCCTGCAGATTTAAAATGAGCATTTAAACAATCCATCCTCAGGCTGCCTTAAATAATAATATTTAGCATAAAACCACCTGCAGATGGGTTTCTTGTATCAGTGTCATCTCTTCTAAAGTCAGTCTGGATGGCAACTGCTCTTCTGCAATACTCAGTAGGGTCAAATTTAACAGCCTTTTAATCTACAGGCTCCTAATGTCCTATGTGTGGAAATCCAAGAGGTGTGGTTTTCCAAAGAACTTGTAGGTCATGTGCAAGTTGCATTTTGGAAAAAACGTAACAGTATTCAAAAGCAGCTTCAGTGCTGGAGTAAACATCTGCTGGTCATGTTTGCTAAACACTTTTAAACATTTAAAACACATCCTTTTTAGATAAACAGTTTAAAGGGAGCAATTGCTGCCATTTTAGGCTTCACTAGAGAAAATATGTGCTCCTGCAGGGAATCTTTAGAGCTCAACAATGTTCCTCTGTTTATCAAATAACTGCATGTGTATCAAATCTAATCCTGTAGGAATGCAGTAATAGATTAAATATAGCCACATACATTTTTTCTATATTGAAAACTTGTGTTAAAGCATCTGTCTCCACTGTAAAGTTTGGGGGGTTTTGGTAACGACAGAAGCATTATCAGGATTGCCTGTTTATTAAGGAAGTAAAAACTTGGGAAGTAAGAGAATTTCTAAAGTGCCTAATGTGCAGTCTTGATCTCATAGAGTCAGGTAAGATGGAACTGAGATGATGATGCCATCGACAGTAGAAATTGTCTATAAAATCACTCCAGAGCTTTAGAGGTTAAAAGGTTGTATCTTGGATTAATGATCTTGGAGGTCTTTTTCAACCAAAAAGATTGTATGATTCTATGATCTTATTATGTTAACTGTGCTAAGAATGAGAAAAGTTACTATGTCCCAAAGGTTTTCTTGACTTGATATTTTTTAAGTCTTAAATATGTCCCTTGTGTTTAAGCGTTGTATTTATGTATTATCTACATACAGGCTGGTTCCTTAATTTCCACACACAGGCCTCATTTCAGTAGCTTCCCCTTACTGTTGAAGATTAGGGGCTGAAGTGAATATTTTAAGTCCTGGCATATGAACAAGCTTTCTAACTTGGGCTTCTTTTAATTTAAAATACTTCATTTATTTTTTAACTTTTCTCAGTCATTTGAAATGGTGTGCCTGAAAATGTTGGTCAGCATGTGTGAGAGAGATTTGTAAACTTCAATGGCAGGAAATTCCGTATCCACAGAAGCAAGTAATTTGATTCAGTGAGTCAAAGGTCACAATGATAGTCTTAATGATACAACATTTTCAAAGTAGTTAAAAGAGCAAAACAGAGGGATGTTTTCTTTTTTGCCTTAATGTGGCTGGGATGTAGCTGTATTTAAGTGTATTTAAACAACACTGGATATTCTTGTTCTCAACATGTGAATGCATTAAATGGGGAGGTTTCCAGCTTTGAAACAACTGCCTGCTTACAGTTTTCCCTCAGATGCAGTCCCCTTGTTTGGAAAGGTAACTACTTAATTTTTCATAATGTCACTAACGAAACCTTCTTTCTCCTCTGTTTCTCATCAGAGCACGGCCACATTCCCCATACTACAATATGTGGACAGATCACACAGCTGCGCCTCCAATGAATGGGCAGCCAAGCAATGCCACACAAGGTAGTTCAGGAAGAAGAACTGCTTCTGGTAAGGCAAAAGACTCCTTAATCTCATGAAGCTAGAGAGACTTGAACCTATCATAAATACACTGGTGTTAGCTGAGGTTCAGCAAGCATCCTGTGTTTTATTTTACCAGTTGGTACAGGTGGGCATGTAATGGTGTCCCTTATTTCTGTTTCGTGTTCAACTAGGGCAGCGCTGTGGGGCATGAAGCTCCCCACCGGCCTACAGCAGCTATGGTATCACCAATGTCAAGCTTGTCTTTGCCTGCAAGGTGCATTAGTTTAAAGCTTTCCCCTTTGGCATGCACTACCCATGCCCTTCTCTAGCAAATGTATAAGCATGTTCTTTGTGGAAAGCAGGTTGTTTAAACTGCAAGAATGGAATATTTCTCAGGCTGTTCAGCCCACAGGTGCTTGCTTTTGTACTTTATGTGATTATGTTGAACTCATCTCACTTGCCACCTTTATCCTTTTCAGAGCTACAGAGCTCTGTGGAAAGGCTATGGTAGAGCTGACAGTTGTTATTTTCTTGTCTTTGCAGGGTTTGGGGGCACAAAACGAAGATGAGGTCCTTGACGTTATTACAACTGAGTGATTGAACTAATCTCCCTGTGTACTAGTACTTTTTTATTAGTAGTAGGCTTCAGAAGTGGATATGAAGAAAGGTGTGAAGGACTAGAGTTCTAAGAATTCCTTACTTCCCCATCGAAATGTTTAGGGTATTCCAGGTGTACAGTGCATGAGGGATTGTGGCACTGGTAGCCTTGCCAGATCCAGAAAGGCAAGCAGCTTACTCATGTTCTGGGCTTAATTTCATTTAATCCAGAATTTCTGAGGTTTTTTTCTCTTTCTTAGTGGTCCAGCATCTGAAAGCCTAATGTGTGATGCACCTGATATCTGAGGTGCTCTCTGAAACTACTCTTGTTTGTCAAATTGTGAGCATTACTATACATACAAGTCAGTTACTCAGATGAGTGTTTACCTTAGTGGACAAAAGCAAATATATATATATAGAGACAGAAACTAACATTAATGTTTGTATCTGTGCTGCGTGACTGTTGGAGCCAAAATTTCGGATTTGATGATGCTCCATGTTGTAGGGTTCACCCAAGTGGCTCTGCAGACCTGGAGGGTTTTGTGATTGAATTATGAAGAAAAATTAAACATGAAATGGGACAAGATGGTCCTTCTTTAAATTGGACCTTTTTCTGGAAGACTAAGGTAATTTAAACTCGGGGGCTACAGCCACTTTGCCCACATTGAGGCTCCAGACTTTTCTTTTTACAGTGGGTGTTAGCAATGCTTTGAAAAACTTCTAATGTGAACAGTCTGTCCTGGACACTGTAAACCAAAGGTGCCGATGGCAGGAGGGAAGGAGCATTCCTAATCCAAAGCTAGCAGTATCTTGAGAACACATAGCAGGCCTTGAGACTAAGCAGAGAAAGGAAATTGAATGTCTAATGGGTTGTAAACTTTCCCAAATGTACCTTTTAAAACAAAGGGCTGTCAAAGAGTGGGAAGCAGAGGGGCCTTGCTTTGTTCTGTGATGATGGTTTGGGGCTCTGAGAAGCATCATATGGTTCTCGTGTGATTGACAGTGCCCTGGAGAGGCAGTGCTGAAAAGAAACAGAGAAATTTCTCAGGGCTGGGAGGGGAGAGAAGAGTGAAAAATGGGCTGCTTGACCACTAGGTCTTCTCCGGAGGCAGTCCTAACACAGCTTAGAAGTGTGTGCGTGTGTGTGTGCGCGCGCACAGCTTTTCTACACTGGCAGCAGCCTAAAGCATACCCCATCCTTGGGAAAATACTGTGTCTGGGATGTGATGTAAGCTGCTGCAGCAGAAGCAGAGCACTGTTCTGCTGATACAAACTGCATATCCGTGAGGAGATTCAGCAGGTATGGGTAGTCTAGGAAAGTGGCTTCAGCATTACTCATCAAAAAAGCAACTATGTCTGTTAATGAGAACAGAAATGGTTGGCTCAAATGCTAATGCTTGAGTTCAGTGTTTGGTTTAAGCAACAACAGCAGCAAAAGAAAAGAAAATCTTTAAGAAGTCATCAGAAGCTGTGACAAAGTGTAGAGCTTGCACTGAAAACGTGGAGATCATAATAAAATTGATAACTTGAGGATAAAACAGTGGTTTGCTTCGCAGAGCAGAGCTGCTTGTGGATTGGGCAAAAATACCTTCATTAACAGCCTGCTCTGTCAACATAGGAGGCCTGTTAGAAAGTTTAACTTTTTATGAGGTTATATGATAAATTTTTCTTTTTGACCAAATATAGCAAAATAATGTATTTTAAATGTGAAGGTCTTATGTCTGAGTGTATTCAGGTTGAAACTTGTCACAGTCAATACTCTTTGCCAACTAATTACCTAACAATGAAACTGGATTTCTGCTAACTGGGTAGTTTGAAGCTGAAGTTTGCTCTGAAGTTATGGTGTGTTACAAAGTGTTTTAAACAATGTTTTCATTTGTATTTATAGCTGCTGCATGAAATGTGATTTGATGCATAAACCTGATAAATAAATTACTGTTGTTTCTGATTGTGTTTGTAGGATACTTTTGCCCTTCCCTTTGATAAAGCAGTTAAGTGAACAAGGAGTATTTTTGTCTTTAAAGCACTGTCTTGAGGTCTTCAGAGATGGCAGTTTGGTTGTCAGGGTTAGCTACATCTCACTTCTTGGATGGTGTAATCCTTTACCCCCTGACACAGAGCTGGTAAGCTGTATATTGTTTCGACAAAATAAACCAATACCAGGAATAGTGTTATTTAATTGATTGGATTTTCAGTAACAAAATACTGAACCAGGCAAGGAAACAAAGGATTCCTTGTAAATGAGGGTTTCACATCTGCAGAAGAGCTCTGTGATGTTGGCATGTTCCTGGTTTTGCAAGATGATTATCTGAACCTTTCAAAAGTTATCCCTGCTGCTGTTCCAGTTGTGGATATAGCAGAACTCTACCCAGAGATAGCAGCTGATGGATCTGCTGCGTACTGTGTGTCGCTACTGAACAGAGACATGTCCTATATAGGTAGAGGCAGTTCAGCCTCCGGCTGTAGTAAAGTAGGGTTAAACAATTCTGATAGAAGAGTTTGCTTTATTAAGGATGTCAAGGCTCCTGAATCAAAAGAACTTGTGGGAGACCTCAATCCCTGAACATCTGGACTGGAAGGCTTTAGTCTTCCTTCTGCTCCTGGAAAGGGTTTTGGCAGCATCTTCACAGGAACTCCATAGTTGCAAGGCATATGTAAATGCTTAAACTGTTAAATGCTGTTGCAGGATAATTGCAGCTCTACTTGGCACCTGGGACTATTCCTACTCTGACATAGCTTGCATCCTCACACAAAGCTAAAGCTCATTACAAGAACAAAACTCCTGGTTTTACAGCTGACTTCCCCTGAAGCATGTGATGAAAGAAAAAAAGATGCACAGAGATAAGCTTTCTCTGTGCCACTATCTTGTGACTCAACTCCCAGGTCAGATCTTGGCTAGTTCTGCAGACTTCCATGCCTGTGCAACTTGTTCCTTTTGCTGGGTGCAAAGTGTGTGTTAGACTCTTCTGCAAGGAGAGATGGTATGTTGTGTTAGGCTTGCTTTTTACATACAAATCTTCTGTGATCCTCACTTTACATCACTGAGTTCCAAAAGGGGAGTTAAACCAGATAACATGACTTCCAGCACTAGGAGTTGTTGCACAGAGAAATTGCTGGCAGAAAGTAACAAGCAATGCCTGCCTACACAGCTATCTAAAAGCTGAAAATACAGTATTTGTTCACAGGTTGTTAATGTATTTTTCCCTCCTTAGTAATAGCAGATTAGTGTTAGCATTTCAGAGTACCTGTCAACTAGTGATTGCTCAGCTGCCTTCAAACTGAAGTACATGAGCAAAAATCACAAGTAAAATAAAAAAGACCCAGCCTCAGAGGTGCAGTCTGTGCCTGAAGACAATGCTGCTGTCCCATGTTGCGTGAAATGAAATGTATCATCAGGTCCCTTGTTCTCCTTCCATACACTGAGGCAGTTGAGGGTTAAGTGCTGCATCGGAGAGGCTCTGAATCCCTCAGCTATTTTGCTGCACCCTTCCTCTGCAGCTGACAGTAGTCTTCACTTTCTGACATTGTTTCTATGCAGCTGTGTTTTGTCGGTGCTAATGAAAATAATCAGCAGGCTCCCTTTATGTAGTCTGTATTCATCTCCCACTGTCTTCATTCTTACAGTTGCCTCTGTTCTGAGTGTCAGTGTTTCTTTGCTAAGGAAGTGACAAGCACTTGCAAAAAGTACATTGAGCTGGAAATAGCTGGTGTAGATTGAGATGAAGTCAAAGGAGCAAACTGCTAGGCTGTGAACTGACCCTTGTGGGCAGTGTGTCTGTGAAAGGAACTTTTCAGCTTTCTGTCAGAGAAGCATTTTGTCAAGGGTACTGTATGGGCAGCTGGTGGCTGGAGCAGCTGGAGGACTAGTGAGCTGCCAGCATGGGGAAGACCTGAAAACATCCTCTCCAACCTACCTTAGAAGTTACTAAGGTCTGTATAACCAGGAAGGTGGCTAGGACGTGCTAGCTCAGCCTCCCCACAGGCATGCCATTGCAAGTCGTTTAGGTAGATGTATGTTTGAAGTTATCAGATACTTCTGAAAATGCCACGATGCACAAGAAAGGGGACTTGGCCCTGCATCCATGATTGTTTCCCACGGTAATGTGTCTTGGAATGAGCTGAGAAGGCCAGAACTGGAGAGAGGAGCAAGCAGCTTGATGAAGGGTACAAGTTTACACCTGTACTAGCCAAAGCCAGGCTTGCCGGAAGAGCCTTGGCCCTGCTATGTCCTGTCTGTTTGCTTTTCTCATACAACAGCAATAAACACAAGGCAGCTCTAATAGCAGTTGTATCAGGTTTATTTTACTGGGCTTGAAAGTTTCATCCTGCATCCCTAAGCAAGTCCTAAGGACAATTATCAGTGATGTGTATTGGCACCTTTTGCTCTGAGGACCATCTGAGCCATAGCCCAATTCAGTCTTCAAACTATCCAGTGTGGAGTTTGGTGGAGATAATCACCATCTGGTGAAAGACCAGATTCTCTTAGGTTACCACGCAGGGAATTTCTGCTCACTTTCTGGATTTGCCTTGACTTTTCCTAGGCTGAGACTCCTTTGCAGCCTTTGCTCTATGGCTGTTATTTGGATGTCATTGTACAGGCTCCTCTGAGGCTTGGCCTTGAGGTCATAGCTGTTAGATCATGGCTCCCTGTGCCCTGGTAGTCAGTGTGAGGGTTATGTCAGCACTGGAATTACCGGCAATCCAAAATACCTTTTGCTGCTGATGAGTAATGGGACTTACTCATCTCCCAGTCAACTCCTGTGGTAATTTTCCTGCCATTTAGCAGCTGTAAGTGCATCTTCTTTAACAGGTGGAGAGAGTTATGGCTGAGGAGAAAAGGAAAAAGAAAGGCATAATGAATGTAGATGAAATGTTAAGGTAGAACAGCTTTGCAGAGCTGACCTTCATGCTGGGAGTATTTTATCAACATTCTTTTTCTAGGAGGAGGAGGAGTACTTTCTTGCTGTGGATTTGAATAGTACCACCAGTGCTTTCCGCACTACTCCGACAAGAGTGTGAGACTTAAAACTGTAACGGGTTCAGTGTTTCATAAAGTCAGACCTGTTTGGTGCTCAGTGCAGTTTGATACACAGCTTGCAAATAATCGTTAGCGGTAACAAGTGAGGTTATATCAGTACAGAAATACATGTGGTTTGAGACAAGGAGGCACAAAAATACAAAATGTAATCAGTTCTAAGTAATGTTAAGTTTGATGGCTTTGTAATGGAAAATAACTGCGGTTCTTGGAGGTAGTTGACAGTTTCAGGTCCTCAGGACCTTAGCACAAAAGGTGTGAGAAAAGCAGAGTAGAAAAACAGGACCTGGG